GCTTGGAAGATTTCTGGCCACTCCATTGTTATCAAGACATTCACTTCTTAAGGCATATGATATGATATGATATGATATATTGTATGTATCTATGCATGTTTAATTTGATTTATTGATTTGATATTACTACTCCCGTTTTATATTGGGGATTGATTAAATTGATAGAGTTACAATTATCTCATTTTTCTAATATTATTCTTGGTTAATTAACTAGAATAATAACTGTCTTACTCACCTCATCTGTTCCCTCTCTCCATCATATAATTATATATAATCCTTTCAGTCCGAATATAAGGCATTTATTATTATTTTTATAATTATACCCTTATTTTATTTATTGTTACTTTAAAAAAATAGTCCATTAAAATTTTAACTGTCATTGTTGAAAATTACAAATTAATTACCAGTGGTCCCTATATTGTGAACTGGAGATAGGACATGGTATAGTACCATAAAAAATTTTCAGAACTAGGTGGCTTATAAATATAGTCATGAAGTACTTTATTTGGAAGAATATTGCCACAAAGATCACTGACCTACTCCGACTTTCATGGCCATATACATACGAACTCACATTTATTACAATTTAGTTGAGAGTAGCGTTGTACCTACCTTCGCAGGCGTTAATTGTTCTTCCATCGTAGTCTTGTTATTAATTGAACATTTAAAGATAACAATCGCGTGATTGGACACATAGGTATCAAAGCTAAATTGGGCTATTCTCATAGGGTCACTTAGTTTCTTAAAATATTTGTTATAATAATTATTTGCTGCGGATGTTAAAAATTCTAACATTAATTGCTAAAAATGCTAATTAAAATTTAAATTTGATTGCAAATACCATCTGTTATGTCAAGTAGATTTAAGTTGAAGTGTATATTTTTTGTGTATTCGAGCATGTGTAATTTTGAATTAGTTAAATTCTAATTGTTGTAGACATTTACTAATTACTTGAGATTCTCAATCTATTGAGTCTGGAAATTAAATACTTGGCGAGTCTTCTTTTGAGCTTATAAAGTCGACTAATCGTGAGACACCAAATGAGGAGTGAATCAGAAAACCATTTGGATCAAAAATTACTGAAGAGAATGCATGAGATAGGGCACATATATGCTCTCATTGTAATCAGACCATCTGATGCAACCTTTGCTTTCATCCTCAGAGCTTGGAATCCACAATGACGTCTTCACTTTCGTCATCTTTGTTGATACAAAACAGTGGTACCTATAAATATAATTCCACGTACACTCACCACAAAAGATGTACATACATACATACGTTCTGACACTACACGTCAATTCCTTGTGCTTTGTATTCTTAACCAATTCATTTTGAGAGCATCCCAACGTACCTGTGAAAACAATGATGACTATTAGAAATAAAGAAATCCCACGTTCAGTAATTAGAAAATAGATTGAGAATGTTTATGATTTGAGATGTATCTAATTAAACAGCTTTAACTATTTGGATCATGAAATTGTCTATCTTTAAATACACTTAATATAAAAAATTTAACATCGTATTAAAATCATTTGATCTAGGAACACACCAAAAAAAAAAGGAAAAAAAATAAAGCAAACAAAGGAGTAACAAAAAGAAAAAAAAACAGCAAAAAGAAGACTATAAAGAAGAGAGAGAATGAAGATTATGGACTCAATTTCTCCTAGACTTAAAAAAAAAACCTAAAATATATCTAACCAAATGATTTAAATTATTTTAATGAAGTGGACAATCCTCAAACATATTTAATATAAATAATTTAACAATGATAAGTATGTGTAAGAACTATTGAGTGAAATAGAAGATCTTGTTAAAGCAACAAAAAAGAAAGATTTTGAGATTTTGAAGATGAAGAAACATTAGCTTTGGCAGCAGCATAGAGAGTATGTATAAAGTGGAAATGAAGGAATTACGACACAAGAAGCAGAACCGATGTTGATGATGGCTCCTTTTTTTTTTTTCTTTCTGATCATTCCTTCAATCACAGCCTGTGTCACCCAAGTTATTGCTTCCACGTTCACTTTGATAATCGCTTCTATAAACCGAAAAGGTGTGTTTGAATTTTAGTTAGATATAACTGATTATAAAAAATTATTAATATGATTGATATTGAATATAATTGATTATGTTATGAGATATATAATTGATTTATAAAATTAATTGATGAGATTGATTTTAATTAAAATTAAAAAGTAAAATTCAAAATCAAATAAAAATATGCATGTTTTTGTGAAAATATATCTAAACATTCTTGTTACATATTAAAATCAATTATAAATCTAAAACCACAGTTTTTTCATAAGCTATTATTAATTGCTTTTTAATTCATATTTTCAGTTGTACTTTTTTAAAAATTTTGTTGAACCTCAATTTTGATGATTATAAAAATAGAGAAGATTGTTCTTGTAGATAAACTATGTGTAAAGTTTTCTGGCTTTTCTAGTCCTCTATTATTTTGTATCCTTTTAGGTTTTGACATTTTTTATCAAGTTGAACCAACTTTTCATGAGGGAAGATCCGAATTTTTGTCCCAATTTTTTAAATTGATTGCATAAATAGGAATATGTTCTAGTGAAAATGACTGAGTGAGTCAGCCTACGAAGTATGGATTTTCAGAGAAATTGAAGGAATAGAAGGAGGAACCACGTACGTACGACGTCGTTGTTTGTGCAATGACTTGTCTTTAATTTCTTCATCATTATTTTGATGTTTGGATCCTAATCGAGCTGATGCAAAAAGGCCACAAAACAAATGAACCGTTTTCACTTGCGAAAGAGCAATGGACTCGACCTCGTGAATCTGCTGAGGGGTTATTTTCTTTTTTGTTAAAAAAAAAGAAAGAAAATTTGTCAGATACATATAGGCTTCACAATTGGGGAGGGCCACGATCGAGAGATGGCCTCGTGAATATGCTGAGAGGTTAGCCAGGAACGAACGATGGTGATTTGTGGAACGGACGCATGAGATTTGCTTAAAATTTTTGATGACGTGGGCAAGACTGGAGAGAGCGACAGTTTGACGGGTCTTGAAAATCTTTGGGATGGTTGAAGAAGCTGCAGGTTTGGAAACTGGACGGATCTCGGATCTTGATTGTTCGGCCCAAGTATGTTCTCTATGGGTCTTGGATCTTGAATTGCCATTCCCAGCCCAATTCTTGACCACTCAAACGAATATGCTTTTTGCTGAGGCCGAACATGATATCATATTTTAAAGTAACAATGTGAATCCACATGCCTTGCTTCCCACCAGATAAAAATTCACAAGAGACTCTGGAGAAGAAATTTATTTTCCATTTACTGAATTGAATTAAACAATGTAATACAATGTGTATTTATAAACCACAAGCACCCAATGAACTAGAATGAAAAAAAAATTAGAGTCAAACTTAACAAAATTGTAAATTTTTATGTTTGAGCCAAATGCTTAATCCAAATACTTGAATAAAATTAATTATTTAAAATATATATATATATATATATATATTAAATATTAATTAAACCTTCAAGTTTTAATTCATTGTATAATACTAAGAAATTATATATTTAAGGACACTATTTTGGATATTTTCTTAAGAAAATTAAAAATGTCAAAATTGTTATTTTTTATTACTTTTAGCTGATAAAATATCTTAAAATAATATTTAAACAATTTTTTAAAAAATTGAGTCTTCTAAATTTTCTAGGTATTCTAAAAAGTATATTTATATTTTTTATAATAATAAAATAATTAATTTTAAATTAGAAATTGAATTTAAAAATAAAAAAGAAAAAATTTAATAATTTGAATGTTCAAGCGGGCCTAAATAAACTTGAAGCTTGAGAGTATTCAAGATATGCTTGGCTATGTAAGTTTCTTTATAAGTTTCCCGTTTGAATAACCTCAACTAATCTTAATTATCAACTGTATACATTATTAGCTACCTACTTGACGCCATCTTTGAACATGCACAAAGTGTGACCAACTATTAACACACAATATTAATATTATTAATATTCAACAACTAATGACTTGCTCTGGATTACAATATAGGGTCTTTTTTAAAAGCTTAACTTGATTTAAAATATAGTGCATTAGTTAGATTATATATATATATATATATATTTAAATTATACCATTATTTTATTATACTCCACTCAAGTAATTAATAAAGATGTTTTGAATAATAAATCAAATATTATATTTATTCTCCTCAAGGATACTATTGAAAAGATGAAAAATTTTAGAAAATTAAAATTTTAACTAATTTTTTTAGAAAAATAAATAACTTACTCCCTTTGTTAAAAAATGTAAGACATTTTTCGAGGAGTTGAATGTTAAAAAATGTAAAATATTTTTAGTCTTTCGAAATGTAATCATTATCTTTTTTCAAAAATATTCCTATTGATAGTGACTTTATATTTATTGTAAGATGTTTAATAGGGATAAATATGAAAAAATAAGGTTAGTTGAAAAGTAGGTAACTACTTTATTGGGGGTGAGATTCGGTTAAAAATATTTTATATTTTTAAACGGATGGAGTAACAATTACTTATATTATAATCTAGAAAAAGTATTTTACAACTTTGATAAGCTTTAATGAGCACAGTTGATCTTGGTTCCAAACTTGCCAAATGCCTTCTTTCACTGTCAACTCACAAATAATCATTCCAGCCACAAAATTATTTCGCAGGTGAATTATTGAAGCAATTAATTAGAGACAATTTAATCAACTCAATGTCTTGCATCATTCATATTCTATTTAATAAAAATATTAATACATGTTATACTAGTCAAATAAAATTTTACGTGTAATTATTTTTAATGTTAAATAAAATGCTTCTTTAATTCCTTTGCTTTTCTCATTATCAATATAAATTACAACTATTTGATATGTTATGTTTTTATTAAATATAGAGTATGAAAAACATGGCCCACCAAATCCAAACAAGAATTTCTCCACACATATAGACAACCCCTATATTTAATAAATTTTCTTATATTTTTATTTAGAAAAACACACATAATAATAACTGTAATCATAGCATTATAACATGTCTGTTACGTCGTAGTAAATTAACTCCCCTTAGGAGCAACTGATCATACACAAATTAAAATAAAAAATGCAGAACAGAGAACTTTCTGTTTATTTCATTAATCATCTAATAACAGAAGCTTATAACAGATCTATATAATATATTATAATTCTAATTGTTGTTGTTTACTTGAGATTCTTGTAATGCTTTGAGTTTGGAATACTTGGCAATTCCTCTTTTACGCATATAAAGATGTTGTCGCATGAGATGCCAATTCACAAGAGAATGAGGAACCATTCGCAAGAGAAGACATTGAAGAGAATGTAAGAGGTAGGGCACACATAGACTCTCATGATAACCAAACCATCTGACACAACCTTTGCTGTAATCCTTGGCCGTTGGAATAAATAATGATGTCTTCAGTTTTACCATCTTTGTTGCTACCAACATTGGTACCTGTTTGCATAAATATGACCCAACAATTTACACTCTCACCAGTCACCACCATATGGATCTCTTAATAAATAAATTGTGCTGAGCTGTGCTTTATTATCTGGTCATCATTAATTAATAGTTTGGTTTCTGTGGCATCCAATAAAATTAATTAAGCTACCTTCTTTATTGTCCTCTTTAATGTTCGAAATCTCAGCCATTCATCTCAACTCATGGTCAAAGCAATTTCATTTAATTCCGCCAAATGACGGGTTGAGATTCTGCACAGGCAGTAGAGAGGATAGCAAACAACCTGGTCCCAACACTGCTTGAATATATGACCTATAGTGATGATGTGAGGTTTAAAAGTGTAAAAGGCTTTCTTACCCACTAAGTATTTAAGAGTGAGTTTTTCCTTTGAATTTGTACTTATCACATTGATACTTTTATTGAAATGTTGGTGTGACAAAAAAGAATTATTCATGAAGTTTTTTGACTGATATAAAGGCCAAGTAGAGTGTTGTGCTAAGGAGCTATTAAGAATGTCAGCTCTTAATTAGGTGGCATTGTAATGAATCTTACATTAAGGAGTCTCACAAACTGGTGTAAGATATACAAATATGAAAGACTCTCCCACCTAATAAATTAATCTTTTGAAAATGAATTCTCCATTTGGACTTCTCTCGTCATGGTAGTTTGGTGAAAAAAAACTTGTTGAGCTATTAAATTGTTTTAGCAAAACATTTTTTTTTTAACATTTACCCTTAATTTATTATTGACATGCCTATTTATAGAGCCCAAGTTTTAGGGGAAAAAAATTTGATGACTTAAAGCGTGACCTATATTTTGGATTATCAAAGCACCTCATAATTAATTAACGGCCTTCTATTCGAGACTAATGCAATATATTGATGATTAATAAATTAAGAAGGTTAAGAGTATGGGAGAACCTGGCACTGGACGTCAATTCCTTGTGATTTGTACTCTAAACCAATGCATTTTGAGAACATCCAAAAATATCTGTGAAATATAATTGGCAGTTATGAAACTATTAGGACATTACAGAGTTTAAATTTTTTAAATGTGAGGTTATTGAATTTAATTTATTGTCGATTTCATGTGCCTTTATGGTTTCTTAAAATAATCCAACATTAAGGTTGAGACCTTTTAATGTCTAAAACTTGATTGATTTTTAGTGTTTGTGTGTGTGTGTGAGTGTGTGTCACCAACTTAATCATCACTTATAATTAATTCGGACAGCAAGAAACAAAACAGAAAATCCTTAAATCAACCGCAACAAAAAGTTTTTGTAAAAAGAATTGTATATTCATCTAAATTAAAATTAATTGTTTAAGTTATATATATATATATATAGTTTTTTATAATTTCATATAAAGTAAAATGAAAAAAATTAATGTGAAAATTACAAAATTTAAAATCTAAAAATTTTATTTTATTTTTAAGTAAAAGGAACGAATAGCTTGTGATTATCAGAAAACCTGAACTCCTATCTGAAGAGCACCCAAAGCTTGTTATACTCAGATCAGTTTTTAAGGACTTAATGGATGGTTTCTTATGCCTGAAATTTAATTTGTAATAATTAATGAAAGAGTTTGAATAAATTAAGATTAAGAATAGAACAACATACGCTTTTGTAGCAGCATAGAGAGTGCAGAGAGGATACGAAGGAATCATAGAACAAGAACCAGATCCAATGTTGACGATGGCTCCTTTTTTCTTTCGGATCATTCCTTCAATCACAGCCTTCGTCACCCAAGTTGCTGCTTCCAAATTCACTTTAATAATTGCTTCCATAAACTCCAAATCATCTTCATGGAAGAACCTCGGATAAGGGCTTGCCATGCCAACGTTGTTCACCAGCACACCCACATCTAAACCTTGTGTCGCTTCCCTTATCTTCCTCACTATTTCTTCTCCATTGATAGTCTCAAAGTCTATCACCACAAGCTTCACTTCCACAGATCCACCATGTGTGTCTCTGATCTCCTTCGATGTGGCTTCGAGCTTTTGAGGGTTTCGACCAACCAGAAGGATGTTGAGTCCTTTGGAAGCCAATTCCAAGGAAATGGCTTTCCCGATTCCGTCAGTTGAACCGGTGACGATAGCCCATGAACCATAGGTTTTGAGATTCTTGGGAGGCCTCAAAAACATAATCCACACCCATCTCACAAAGTAGATCAAAGCTTTAGAAAGAGTGATGAATCCTAAGGAGCATGTTGCAACTTGGAAGATTTCTGGCCACTCCATTGTTACCCAAACTTTCGCTTCTCAAGGCATATACTCCCTCCATTCTTATAGTATTTTTTAAAAGTTTATTTTATCTTTAAATATAAAGAGTGACAATAATATTTTTGAGTAATTAAATAATTTTACTCTTGTCTTAAAAAATAAAATAAATTATTAATTGTATGTTTTCTCTACCATCATTATTATATTAATTATGATATTATTAAAGATAAAACTAAAAAATTATTTTATTTTTATGTGAATTCAACTAAAGAATAAAGATTATATATTGGGAGTTAGGGAGTAATTTGGAAGAATATTGCCACAAAGATCACTCATGGCCATAGACTTGCTGACGCACATTTAGTATAATTTAGTTGAGAGGACTAACGTTGTACCTACCTTTGTAAATTAATGCATTAATTATGATTCCATTGTAGTCTTTTATTAATTGATCATTTGAAGACGCCAACGCAGGGAGCAATGGCAAATTTGGCTCTTTTTTGTGGTACGCAAATTTGGCTCTTTTTTGTGGTACACAAATTTGGCTACTTTAATAAAGTGACTTTGGGTTTTGGTTTTACTTTCTGAACAATTATTAGTTTAGAATTTTAACAAAGCATCATAGCATTTCAGGTTAATAATGGAGAAGAGAGAGATAGGCACCAAGATCTAAAACCCTACATCCTTTGTTTGAATATACGAGAAAATAACCAACTTATATTATTGTCCAAATATAATGGATTATCTTGTTATACTATAAATTAATTAACTATATATAATATATTCCCTCTGTCTCTATATATAAAATAATTTTTAAAAGCTTATTTTGTCCTTAAATATAAGGGGTGACAATAATATTTTTGAGTAATTAAATAATTTTGCTCTTATTTTAAAAAATGAAATAGATCATTATTTATATGTTCCCCCATTACTAGTATGATATTAATTATGATATTATTAGAGATAAAAATAAAAAATTATTATATTTTTATGTGAGTTCAACTAAATACAAACATTTATTAGTATGTAAAATTTAATTAAAAATACTTTACATATGAAGATGAAGGAAGTACATCCTTAACCATAATCTATAACCTCATACAAAATAAATGCATCAGCGGTTCCATATATCTGGGAAATGATAAAATCATGACCTGTGGGAAGTGCATTTCCATTGCAGATATGAAGTCTAATCAAACCATAACTTGAGGTCTTTTTTTTATTTGTGTACAGATGTGTGTTTCTATTGAAGATAACAAAAAATTGCTTAAGATACAATTCAACATTAAATATTGATATATCTTTCAACAAAAATTTAAACACTGATTCATTATGTTGTGAACAATTAGCTCTTTCTGTTTGACACAATTATGAGTGAAAATTGGCCTCCTAACTTAGCGTTTGGCCTAGCCTAAGCTTACAATCAAGTCTATTTAAATAAATAAGCATTTCTTTAAAGGTTCACTTGCAAGCTCATCAGGCCCCTTTGTTTATATTTTCGTAGTGTGTATATATTATACACACAAATTATTTCCTTGTTATATAAATATATGTAAATCTATATGCAATATATTATACTATAATATAATTTAATTAAATTTCATTAAAATATTAAAATAAATAAATAGGGATGCAAGAGGCTTCAACTTGGCTTGTTTAGCAAAAAGACTAAACTTAAACTTAAAATTAGGTCTATTTACATAAATAAGTCAGGCCTATTTAGTAAAACTTTGGCTTGATTTGATTTATTTCCATCCTTAAATGCAACCCATTGGTATAAATTGTGGTATTTTACTTTACAATTGTGATCAGTTAGGGTTCTAATGCACAGGGCCTCTCACTCAACAACCAGAATTTATATTTGGATGTTGAATCACAATTCAATTCCCATAAGTCTTCATGTCACCCACAAGTCTCCACCAAACATTCCGGATAGTAATCAATTAAATTAATTCCATGGGAGGTCGTGGCCAAAGAAAATGACACGTGGCAATAGCAAACAAAAACTATACCTACCAGGCAACTAGCACTGCTTCCGTGTACTAATTTGAGCGGGTAATTCAAACAAGCCGATTATATTTGGCAAAGGACTTAATTTGAACCTGCTTAAATAAGGTTGAACTTATTAAAAATCGAAATAGCTAAGCTCAGGCCAAAACCCGACCAAAACCTCTTCGGGTCCCAAATAGCCAAATTATTAATTTTTTCATTTTAAAAATTAATTTTATACTTTAAAATTAATTATTTTTATTTTATTAAAATAATTTTTTAAAAAAATATTTTGTCCTTTAAATTTTAAAATCAATATTAAAATATATTTTAAATATTATTTTGAGATATTTTATAGATTAAAAATAATAAAAATATCACTATATAATTTTGTTAAAAAAAGCGTACGTAATAATGTACTCAAAGAGCTGATAATTTGAATTAAACTTGATGGGTCAACGTGAACTTGTCTAAAAATTTAGGGCTGGGATTAGCAATATAATATTTTTTAACCTGAATACAAAATATATTTTTAAAATATATAATAAATATTAATTGATTCTTTAAGTTTTATGTTATTTTATATTAAAATACCATATATTTGAGTGCATTACTATATTTATTTTTTAAAAAATATTCATATTTTCGTATTTTTATTATTTTTTGTCAATAAAATATCTAAAAATAATATTTAAAATATATTTTAATGTTTATTTTTATATTCTATGACCCATATATTTAAAAAAAATTGAGTCCTTACATCATTTAAGTATTCAAAAAATATATTTTCTATTTTTTATAAAATAATATAATTAAATTTAAATTAAAAAAATAAATTAAATTTTATTTTAAAAACAAAGTTTGGGCATGTATGAATTATTGACTTTACTACTAGATAAACATAAGAAATAGAAAAATATCCTTGAATAATTATCTAGTTATCGTCCATGCCAGACTTGATAAAAAATTTTAAATAAATTAGAATAAATATCCATTGTATGTAAAGATTAAACAATATAAAAAGTCAAAGAAAATTTTTTTATGAAAAATATATTTTACTCATAATTAAATGACTTTTCTTTATATATATAATGATGACTATTTTTCTCATATTATTAAAAATGAAAATTATAGTTTACCCAAAAGTTATTGAAAGCTTTGAACCAATTGGGACAATAATTTTAAATTTTTGGTCCAACTGTTATTGAATTTAGGTCAACTTGATTATAATTAAAATAGTATAATTTAATTAAAATATATAAAATATTTATATATAACCATGATAAGAACAATATCTAAATAACTATGACATTAATTTACAAGTAAAGAAAATATTCATGAATAAACTACACATAATACAACAAAACAGTAACAAAGTTACTTAAGTATAAAGTTAATAAGTTATTATATTTTCTTTTATCCTTTTAAAGTCAAAATATTGTTTTATTCTCAACAAAGTTACTTAAAAAATTGAAATTGGTTTTAAAAATAAAGAAACAATGTTTTTAAGAAGTTTCGAGCATTTGGGCTAGCCTAAATAAGCCCGAAGGTGTTAGGATCAGACTTGATTGTATGGGCTTTTTATATAAGGTAAGATACTTTAAGCTCAATCCAAATAAATCCAACCCAAATTTAGCTCGGTTGCTCAAATTATGGGCTCTACTTAAATATATGATATTTTAATATAAAATGACCTAAAACTTAATGAATTAATTAATATTTAGAATATTTTATATATTTTAAAAAACATAAGTTTCTTAATTTAGGTATTTGAGCCAAGTCCGAATTCAAATTTTTTTAGCCTATTCGGGCATGCTCGAATAGGCCAAACATTAAAAAAAAATAATTTTATCAATCCTAGCCCTGAATTTTTCAAGCTTGTTTGGGATTGGTTTGAATTATTAGCTCTACCCTTCCACTTGGTCACTCCACATTGCACTTTTAAAAAATGCTTTTGGACTCAATGGATGTTTGAATACAAATTTTTATCCATAAGGACTTTTAGTAGGAGAAAGGTAACTACAAATTTTATAATACTGTTGAATTGAATGTAATAAAGCATGCTTATTACAATGTTTTGTAAAAATTTGGTCTAGTGAAGTGTAAAAATATTGAGAATTTATGTTGCATAAACCTTAGGAATCCTACATTACTTGTTTGAAAAATTTAGGATGTGATGTTGTTTGATCATGATTGATTGTATAATTTAATTATGATGATGGTGTAAATATGATGTATGATGTAAAATTTAATTTTGATGTGAGGACTCAAATATAATTGCTTGGGATGATAGTTCATGATCATTGAACATTATTGAATGATTATGTGATGAATAAAAGTATGCTTTAATATGGAATATATTGGAACTGTCCTATCCAAGAGGTGGCAGCAAGTTGTGAGATAAAACTGATGAAATAAGGTAAGATCGTGATCACGCATTTGCCCTCATCTGGCACGCACAAAATGGCCTCATTTTGTGCTTGAGTTACGCAGTTCTTTTAATCAAGGTTGGGATAAGCTCAGTACATTTTTGGGCACCCTTTCAATCAAAGAGGGAAGTTAAGGCTTGTTATGGAACTATGAGACCTTTAGCCAGGCACCATCTCCTTTTACCTAAGGCTTTAGCTTGCGGAAATAAGGATGAAATAAGGAGGAATAACTTACTATGAGACAAAATGGACTTTTAATCTAATAATATTGCCCTATGAATGGTTTTATACCTTTTAATTATAATATTGATTTGATATTGTTGATATTTTCCAGATAGTATATACTTAAAGTACTGGATGAGGTTGATGGATTCTCACACCTTTTATCAAAATTATTGTGTTATATGAATGGACCTTTTCTAACATGCCTATATCACCTGTGAGATAGTTACATATTAGAGAAAACTTTTTCAAGCATGCTAGCTGGAAGGAATTGGTGAGTTGAACTGAGATACCCTTGGAATTTTTTTGTTATGACAATTAGTTTGAAGTGAAACTTTTTGTGAAAAACCACTGGTCAGAGGGAATACTTAGGGACTGGCAGCTTCGTGAAAAGTATGGCCTTAGAGGAAGAAGCTTGCTACCACAACTAGGCTACCTAGCTTGGATATTTTGTTTATTTAATTGATATTTCTATTCAAATTATATTGCATTAATATATTAGTCTCCAAGCCCCAGGTTGATGGAATTTGACCAAAGGCATAAATGTATAGTTTTAGTTATTTTTGCTTCTATTTATTATTTTCTTTATAATTTATCTAAATTATAATTGTGCAGATTTAATCTTTCCTACTACTATGGTAGGTTGCACAAGGGAGCTTGTTTCTTTCCTACCATACTAGACATGGACAATTATTGTCTCATTCCTTTCTTCATTGCTGCAAGAACCAATAGCTGAGCTTAAGGGAGGGAATACTTAAGGACTGGCAGCTTCGTGAAAAGTATGGCCTTAGAGGAAGAAGCTTGCTACCACAACTAGGCTACCTAGCTTGGATATTTTGTTTATTTAATTGATATTTCTATTCAAATTTTATTGCATTAATATATTAGTCTCCAAGACCCAGGTTGATGGAATTTGACTAGAGGCATAAATGTATAGTTTTAGTTATTTTTGCTTCTATTTATTATTTTCTTTATAATTTATCTGAATTATAATCGTGCAGATTTAATCTTTCCTGCTACTATGGTAGGTTGCACAAGGGAGCTTGTTCCTTTCCTACCATACTAGATATAGACAATTATTTGATTGTAAGTTTACCATGGGATCAAATACTTATATCCTTTTTTGCTATGATAGCCCTGAATGTTAAAATTTTTTACCATAGTAGGCGTTTATGTTAGTTAACTAGGCTTGCTATAAATATTATGTTAGAAATAAGGGTAGTTTTTTTTTCTACCATGGTTGATAAATCCTTTACTACTATGATGAGATATGGTTAAATATGAGTTTTGGGTTAGGATTGTTTCATTAGCTCCGACAATCAAGAAAGGTGCAAGTGGCCAATGAGTGGCAATCACAGTCAAAGACTTGACTGTATCATCTCGAACCAGCTAAACTTGCACACTATGATTCCCCAAGTTTGCATGGACATTGAAGACCACAACACGTGCCTTAACAATATCCAAAATGAGATCAACAAGCATGGGCAACTCTCAATGAAGCCATTGGTGCCATTGTCAAGATGTCCAAGTAAAGAGTACAAAGAGCTCCTTGATTTCTCAATGTCAAATCTAGCCTAGTCAAGGCCACAAAGAAGAGGGAGAAGTGAGGGAGGGAGCGAGTGGGAAGAAGAGTGGAAAAGAATATTAAAAAATGAGTTGTAGGCCCACTAATACCAACATACGAGGAAAATAATAGTAGGATGACGGAGTAGGGAATTTCTAATTTTTAAGGATATAATTGATCAGTTGAGTTTAAAATACGTTTTGAGTAAAATTGAGTGGAAAAAATAATTCTTAACTTTTAAATGTATAGTCTCTTATCCCTATGTAGCTTCCTTACTTATCTCATTCCAAGAGTACATTTGGTTCACAAAATATAAATTGATGAATAGGAATGGAAATAAACAAATATAATTGAAAATATACGGCTTGTTTGGTTTTATTCTCATCTTTTATTTTTAAAACTATTTTGCAAACTAATTTTTTAAAACAACATAAAATAAAATCTGTTTGATTATGTTAATTTGAAAATAATTTTAGAGTTAAAAGATTTTTTAACAATGGTTGTCACTAATGATTAATAGTAGTAACATATGATGACAATTGAAGATATTTTACAATTATTGAGTTAAAAAAAAATAGCTCTAAATATTTTCACTTAATAAAAATAAAAAAAATTTGAAAAAATTTAAATACAAAACGCTTACTCAAACAAGTTTTTTATTTTTAAAAATAAAAAATATTTTTTGAAAACATAAACCAAATAAGCCCTAAAATTGCCACCTTTAAAATTATGTAACCAGTTCAAAGATAAAAATATACTTTAATTCATAAATTAATTATTTTTTAACCATATGAATCATTGTTAGAGCTAGTAATATAAGTTGGGTCTGTATGCCCAACCCATCAAAGAGTAGTGAGTTGGGTTGCATATTCTGATGCTCACTTGAATATGAGTGGTTGTCCAAGCCTGTTGCAAGCTAACTTGCGGGTTAACTTGCTTTATTATTTCTTCAAAAAAAAAATTTAATGTTTAATTATTCACTTTCCCTTCCCTTTGACACTTCCTCATTCAGTCATATATGGATCAATATGATGGCGTCTTTGAGAAAGTTACACATACGCACATGCACACACACACATAGAGAGAGAGAGAGAGAGAGAGAGAGAGAGAGAGAGAGAGAGAGAGAGAGAGAGAGAGAGAGAGAGAGTTAACATATCTTGCATATATATATATATATATTGAATATGGTACACATAAACGAGGCAAATCGATTACACACAAACCGTTTCATTGTACAAAAAAACTAAAATTACATAGGGAGAATTACAAATAAATATTTTATAAAAATATTAATATTAAATTAAGATTTTTTAATGCTGACATTCTCAAATTTCAGTGTCCTTATCATATTTCAGAATTAAAATTTTTAATTTGACATTTATATTCAGATTCTTGCTTGTTAGTGTCCCAAATACATATGTGAACACATGCATGAAACAGGACCCCGTTCAATGAAAACCTGTAGGTAGGCACTAACACGAACGTTGTGATAGACACAACATGCCCAGTGTCATGCTTGTGTTGCACATTATACTAAGAAGTAAGGAAGGGAAAGGTGGTGCAGGATGACTTGATAAGAGAATGTTTGTTGATGTAAAATGAAAAAATTAATTACTTAATATTTATAGTTTTAATTCAAATATAACTCAATATTTAAATCTTAATTCATTGTAACTCAATCATTATAGTTTCAAATCAATTGTAACTCAATCTCTCAACTTTAACTTTCGCAACTCAATCTTTATAACTTTAATCATTTAACATATTAGTCCTTATATTTTAAAAAATAAAATTATAAAGATCAAAATTATGTTAAAATTTAGGATTAATATTTTAAATTACTAAGCACTTTTAATCTTTATAAAGATTAAAATTTTAAAATAATTTTAATTTTTATAATTTTATTTTTAAAAATATAAGGACTAATATTTAAATGATCAAAACTATAAGGACTTAATTGTAAAAGTTTAAGATCAAGAATTGAATTGTAATCGAATTAAAACTATAAGAATAGTTACAACAAATTAAATTTCAAACACCAAGTTACAATTGGGTTAAAACAATAAAGATTAAATGATTACTTTTTCTATATAGAATATTGCATTAATTTGTATCTTTGAAATATTATGCTTGGATTAAACTTGGAACTTCACTAATTGGTGGCCATTTCATTTTTATCAGCAATGAAACTGTCATTTTCCTTATCCATATGTGACAGAAAATTCAAGAGAACATGCACTCACAGAATATGTGGTAATATAAGTGGCCAGACCATGTGTTGTGTTTGGAACGCAAAAAACACAGAAACGTGTATCAAACAAAATGGAAACAGGTGTTATGCTACAGCTAAAAAGCAAAGGGTACAATCGCAAATAAAAAGACAAATATATAAGACCATAAGATTTCCTACGAAGAAAGTGCACGAGGAACTCCCATTTATCGGCTCAATGATAAACTTGTGACATCTTCGAAAATTGACAGATTAAATTTGTGCTTTAATACCAAACAGCTGTTTTCACTTTTCACAATAAAAAATTTTACACAAAATTAAAACTTATATCATATATTTTCTAGCTCCCATGTTAAGATGTGTCTAGTCTAACTTAATGGACTAGGCTAAAAAAATGTGACATTTGCTATAACAAGTATTATTCCATTAGGTAAAATCATCCACATGAATTACATAGCCTCATTGTATTCTATCAACAACTAAGCCTTTGAGTATATTGTTAATTAGGATTTTGTTTGTTACATGAAATTTAATTTGCAAGCTAAAAGTGTCAATAAATGTTTTTAGAGCTGAATGGTTCAGCCACTTGATCACAATATACAATGTCATATCATATCTGTACAGATTATGCCAAGAAAAATGTAACACCGATGACTCTTTGATCAGACCTTTCCTTGTCTCCTCCCATTATTTCATCTTCTATGGCTGGTGCGTGTCATTATTCTGCGGGTAAGGTTCAACAGAAAGTAAGGTTTAACTTGTATCGCTATGATTCCAATGTTCCCTTAAGCTAGAATAATACTCCATCCGAACTACAATACAAGTCACGTTTGGTTATTAGAATGAAATGAAATAAAATGAATTGAAAAAATAAAGATAAAAATGAAATGATCAAAAGAAAAAGTAAATCATATTCATAAAGGAAGGAAGTAATTTAGTTTATGAGGTTGAAAATCATGATTCATGAAGTTTTTGGAGGATGTAATAATTCCCACATTTGCTCTATATATTAATAAGTTTTATCATATTTATTATGAAAAAGAGAGATGATTTAGTTCATTTTTGTGTTATTTTTTTGATCTATTCCATTTCATTCATTTTTAATAATCAAACATGGCCATAGGGTATTGGTAATTATTTTTTGGTTCTCAAAAAAAGTCAAGTGAAACCTTAATCTCTTAAAAAATTTACATGTTTCCCATAACACCCTTATTAAATATGATATATAAGTGCCTTAATAATGAAAATTAAAATTCTAATGTAGCTTTTTTTTTTTTTCAAAAAGAATAATAAATAAAATAGGGATATGGTTGAAAAAAAATTAGGGAAAACATAATATTAGGTCCCTACACTTGGCTCGCATTTTGATATTGGTCCCTATACATTTTTTTTAGTGCTTTAAGTCCCTACACTTTTGTTTTTTGGTATTTTAGGTCCTTTCATGAATAAAGTGTAAGAATTTAAAATACAGAAAAACAAAAGTATAAGGATCTAAAACACCAGGAAAAAAAAAAGTGTATAGATCAATAGCAAAACGCGAGCAAAGTAAAAGGACTCAAAGTTATATTTTCCCAAAAAATTATAAAAACTACCAAATGTCTTATATTTTGGACTAAGCAAAGCTTATTGAAGATCTTTTATATTATAGCCTAAAAGGAGTAATCTATAGGGCTGCTACCTGATCAAGTGTCAATCATAGCTACGGCCAGAAGAACTCTTGAAAAGTTGGTCCTGGTGAAAAGGATCATCTGCACCATGCACGGAACTCAACCTAGGAGAGAAATTCCATCCTGATATTGGCTCCAGATCATAGCTATCAGATCTCTTCTTGGCTTCTTCCTGGAACTTCGTATAGAACGTTGAGGACCAGTAATCTCTTGCCAGATTCTGAGGAGAAATATTATTGTTTAGATGAAAAATTTACGCTACCCAGATAGTCCCCAGAGATGCAGTCTCAGCTTACCGTTTTCATCAGCTGCATTATTTCGTTTAATGCATTATTGAAGAGATCCGGGCGAGCAAGATTGGGAGTCGTCAAAATTTCTTGCCTGCTTCGATGAGAAATGTTCACCTCCATTGATGCACCTGTACAAATACAATTTACAATTATGGCCAAAAAAGAAAGAAAGATGAACTCAAGCCCCACAAATTTGGAGGGAACTCTTGCAACACTTATTTCTGAGTATTATAAACTGATGCAAAGGCCAAGAATAATTTTCTATTTCTCAAAATCTGGTCCCAATATTGGACCAAGCAGCATACATGTCATTTCCTTCATTGATTAAGTCACTCTGCCACCACTACCCCTAGCCATTAACAACGTACAAAAACCAACACACAGCACATCATTACAGTAAAGCAGCTTCCTAAATTAAAATTACTGTCGTACCATTCTACTCCCAAACCACAAAAAGCCTCATACTTTCGAGTATCATCATCTTATTTACTGGAAAGAGGAAAAATAAAAGCTGAAGAGCTTAGGATCATAACTACATTTCCATCTATTTTTGGCCATCAACTACATTTATGTCAAATGTCCGAGTTCATAGACAATTAAAGAGATTTCAAGGTTTTATTTTTAATTGCTTTTTCAGGCTAACAAGAGATTTCAAGGTTTACAATATTGAAGTAACCCATGATACATGCCGGACAAGCCAGAGAATAAAAAATGAGTAGAAAAGAAAAGGCACCGGAGCTACAGACCTGAAGCAATGTACTTCTCAATAATATGGCGTGCCATATAGATCCTTCTCACTGAATCATCTTCAGGTATTTTACTAAGCTCGTGAACTTCATCAAAGAAGTGCACACTCTCCCCAGCCAAGCAGCTGTAAATTAATTAAACAGAAGAATTACATAAATGTTCGAAGAAAACTTAAATTGTTTGAGTTCATAACTTTTTAGGTCCAAAACAGTCTGGACCTGGTGACACTAGAGTATAGAGATATAGGATCTATTTATCTCTACTCGGGTTCCTACGTACAGATTTAAGCATCTTTCATCTTCAATCAACATTCAGAATATAGTCACTCATTACACCTGAGTACTTCTCTGCCAAAAAATATTCTCAAACATCCACCCAGAAAATGACAGAGAGCTGTCATTTTGGTCAGGTGCCTTCAACCTATATTTTCCTTAAAGTCAACCAAGAATTTGAAATTCAGAGAAGGGTATTTAACCTATCAGCAAAGGCCATAAAGGAGTGCCGGAATCTCTTGTTCAGAAGAAGCTTATCCAATGGCTCATTAGCATCTATCACAGAAATTGGGTCATTTTGTGCTAATACCCCACTATCGGGTATGCCCAGTGCCTGGCCCATCGTGTAAAACTCTCTGGATTCCCTTCGCCTCAAGCTGATTTGTGAGAGCAGTGGTTGTGAAGTTGATATTGAAAAGAAAGCCATAACGAGTATGCTGGCCTGTTAAATGAAAACCTGGAAGTAAATATAAGTTTCAGAAAGTGATGGTCTAATCTACAGCTTTCAATTAAACTAGCAGTGCAAGTTACAGCATTGTCATGCAACAAAAGCAGCAGCAGCAGAGCATACCATAACTAGAAGCAAAAACCGGGAGACAACTTGAAGCCATGAGATATCGTCATGAATTTCATTCAGTACGTAAGCTGTAACCCACACAACTGGGAGCATAAAGAAGAAACAGTAAAATTTTAAGGCCACCAGATTGAGACATTCTGAACCCATTTGAGCTCAATTTTTCATATATTTCAGTTTGAAAGTCACTTAAGCAAGTGAATTAGTATCCTCAGTGGGGTGTTTTCGCAATATTATACCAATCTTTGTAAAGCAGTCAAAATGCTACAAGAAAGGAAGATGCATGTATTATGATTTTCACCTTGACCTTGGACACAAAATTTAGCCATTTTCTTACTTACGTCAGTAGCATATTTTTATGCAGGTCTTTCAGAAAAAGGATCAGGTAATTTTGGTAAATACATCCAACCAATTGCAATCCTTTTACCGATTAACATCTAAGATTTCACAAAACCCTTATCACTTAGTTTTTGACTTTTAAAAAAAGCCTAGATCAGTTATTCAACTTCAAAGAATATTGTTATTCATTAAACCTTAACTTGTGCTTTTAGGGCATTGATTAGGATGACCCTTAATATAAATATAAGAAAATTTCTAAGCCGCATACAGAATCTAGGCAACAAAGTGTACCAATGGACAAAACTGATACAAATATTCCCCGCCAGAGATCTCTGAGTTCATCAAATCTGAACTCTATATGACGAACGGCTCCTGTAACTCCCAGCAAAGTGGTCACATAAAATGCATGGAGACATACAATTGGGATGATCCACTGAACCCTCATGTGACAGCGATAGTTTAGAGGCTTCTTTGTATGAATAACTATATCATGAATGAAAAATCCAGTCACAACTACTTGCACAAAATAAATTAAATAGATGAGAAATATAAATTCCCTGGACAATAAGAGATAAGAAATATATACAAAAAACTTGCTTCTATTGTCATTACAGGCACTAGTTAAACAAGAAATAATTAATAGATTCTTACAAGTAGCACCAGCAATCCAAGGAAGAAGAATAAGGGGAAGAAGAAAATATGATCTGATAAGTGGTAAGCGCCTCCTGAAATATCAAAAAACAAAGTAAAATTTTGACATGTCTAGATATAGAATGAAACTAAAATTCTTGATCATTACATATAACTCAATTAAGATATTGCACGAGAGTTTGATTTCTTTTATTTCTTTTTATTTCAGAATAGAAAGGGTTTGAATTGGATAAGTTCAAATCAAAGAAGGATTTTTGGGGTCTACTTTTTTTTTTTTAATTCATCACTTTTTTCATAATTCGGTATAAAATTTATAAACATTTGACAAGTTCCTTTATCACTATTAAGGAGAGTGCAGTATATAAATAACAATAAAAATAATGAAACATCACGAAGCAAACAGACCAAGGGCAACTTCTTTAGGTTAACAAAGCCTACCAAATAAAAGCCCTATAAAAAAATAATACAATGATCAATGCACTAATGAAACATAGTTTCACTATCAAAACCAGTTAGACAAGCACAACAAAAGATGATACCAAATAACTATTTGCTATATCCAGCACACAATACAGACTGTCAGCCTTTGGATTCAGGTAATGAGCTTTGGCAAGGGATAAGAGATGATCATATATGCTTGAGTGGGCTTGGGTTGCTTGGATGGTTGAGAGTTAAAGCGATGTGGTAGAGAGAAGGAAAAGAGAAAGGAAGGAGAAAGGAGGAAGAGAAAACAGAGAAGAGAGAGAAAAACAGATAAGAGATGAGAAAGGGAAACAGAGAATAGGGAGAACTGAACTATATATCTGAATTTTCTATTTAGCATAGTATCTGACTTACACTTTGGAGCTTATAACAAATCCTAACAAACTAACTCCCTAACTAACAAAACTACTCACTCTTTATTTCTTTATTCTTTACACATCATAAAGACATAGCATAAGGAACCTACTGGGTCATACCGCATAGTCATAATTCAATTCCAATTTGTTACTTGATAGCATCACATGGCTTTACTTACTTGACAAAAATAAAATATAGTTGGAAGGCTTGTGTTATTCGACAGCTTAGCAACAAACCAAACCCTAGCGGACCTTCAACCCAGACTGAAAGCAAATAGAAACACCAAGTTATTACTAGCAAGTAGCAAACATGCTAAGACAATAGAAGCAAGTTACCAATGATGGAGATAGAATGAATTACCAGCCCAAAGATAACAAGATCGCCACCAGTGTCTCCTTTTGAATGTCACAAAATTGACAGACATCTTACAAAAGTTAAATGAGTCAAACATTATATAGTTTACAGGTAAACAGACAGCAACAACAGAAGGAACCGGTAAAAAGCTAGGACTGATTAGATAGCAATCATGGAATAATATTTAATGACAAAGATTCAGAATTTTCATTCTACCGCAGTTGAAAGCAGAAGGTTGAAGCTAGCAACAACTTGAAGAACTGGAATCCAGAAGCTACTGCCTGTAGTACGAGGAACCTTGTCAACTAGAAAAGGAAAGATTGACCATGAGAGAAGCCTGAAAGATGAAAGAACTCTATCAGCAACAGAAGATAACACAATGATAAGACCGAAACAAAAATTATATCGCTCTCGATTGGAATCACATTAATCGTTAAAGACAGAATGATATTAACGGTCACCGTCTCAATTTGAACAAACACAGAAACTAGAATGCTTTCCATAATGATAGCATAACAAAAAGAAAATATATAAATAATTGATAACCATGCTGGAAGTTCTAAAACTGGATGGCACAGAAGTGAGAAAAGAGTTTGCTCATCTGCAGAGGTGACAAATGACTTTTCACCTACCACCAGATAAATTTCCGAAGCAAACGGCAATAACACTATTTCCTAAATCGGGAGATCTCTAAGCAGAAAACGAAGTCACTTAATTTAAGCAGTGAATTAAAATCCCATCCCATCACTCAGGTTTTGCAATTTCAATCGTTCACTGGATTCAATTAGCCTAATTACTGGCTAATTCCTCTTCCTTTGCTCGACTGAGAGGAAACAGAAAATCAAAAAGGAGAAACTTACAAAAGGAATGACAAAATGGAAACGGCGATGGCCACATAGTCGCTGGGACACCCTCCTTCCACGGCACAGCTTGCCATTCTGGGTGCATTGGAAGAGAGTTTAGTTCACTACAACACACTGTGACAGCATTGAATCCAACACAAGCTCGTCTTTCACGCGGTTGCAAGCTTCGATCTTTGAGTACAGGTCGGTCGTGAAAAGGGTCGCCCACTCACGTACCAATTTCCACACTCGCAGTCCTAACGGTTTGGCGTATACGCAAGTTAGTCAATTGATTAATGATAGAAGTGATTTGTCGGTCCAACTTGTAAAACTAAAGTTTAAAGCTCATGTTGATTCCTTTTTCTTTTTAACTTTTTTATTTTATAATTTGTAAAAATTATATATAAGTTTTGTAGGATAAATTTATTTATAAATAAGTTTCACAAAATTTAAAAATCACAATCAGGTTCTTTGAAAATTAAGTGTAATTTAAAATTAAGGTGCAAAGATCATAATACCCTCATTAAAAATATATTACATCAATTAAATAATTTACAATTATTCATTAATAATTTACAACTATTATTTTAACTTTTTACAATCATAACTTTACATATTCAATGGTTAAACTAATCATACATTACAAATTTAATGCTAATTGTATACAATTATCTTATTTATAATTTACAACTATCATTTCAACATTTTACAACTACAACTTCATTTATTAGTTAAACTGATTATGCTTTACTAACAAAGTTTAACTCTAATTGTTTACAACTACCTTATCATTAATTTACAACTACTACTTTAATATTTTACAATTGCAACTTTGCATATTTAATAGTTAAAGTTATAGCATGTTGAAAATTAACCTCCTGTTAATTAGACTAATCAAGAGTAATTTAGTAAAATTAGTATGATATGTGGTTAGAGAGGACTAATGAAGGTTTTGGGTTGTGATTTCAACCTAAGGTTTGGATTTGAAGTGAAGTTAGGTCACTTAGACCTAAGAAGAGGGAGAAAAAAAAAGGAGGATGTTTCTGTGCCAAGTGCTATAGCATTTGACCAGAAAAATATGATAAACCTTCTCTATGCCACATGCCACAGCACATATGACATGCACCATAGCGTATGACCTATTTTTTGTAGAAATAAGATGCAATCATACATGAAAAACAAAAAAGAAAGGAGAGGAAACAATATAGGTAGCGTGGAACTCTACTAGGGTTTGCTTTTAGAGAGAATTTAGATCAATTTGAAGCTATTAAACATTAAGGATAAGTTTCATAATCTTTTTCCTCTCTTTCTCTTCCATTTTTAGGAGTTTTAAGGTTAGGATTTATGTTGAAGAAGTGATTTTTTTATTATAAAAGTTATGGGTTCAAACCTATTGATTTAAATAGAGTTAATGAAAGTTTTTGAGGCATTTAAACTTAATGTTAATGGGTTTACATGTTTTGTTGGCAGGATGGCATATATGAGTGAAAATGCCATTTAATAAGGTTGTTGGAGTTGGTTGGAAAGCCATTAATGATTATTTGAGAGTTTAATAAAGCTTTTGGAAGTTAAAGTGAGTTAATAAGCCTAATGACTAAGCTTAAAATGTGAGAGATCAAGTTTTAAGGTATTTGCATAATTGAAATTGGAAATTTGAATTGTGTAAATATTGATAATGATGAGTTTGGACATGAATAATTGTAGATTAATCATCTATGCTCCTATTTTGGCTTAACAACAAGCTTCAAAGCATTTATTTGAAAGGTAAACATTTGATTTCTTAAAAGTTTGAGGTAATTGAGAAATTTTTTTTTGTGTAGTTGTTTGTTAATTAATTTATATTTTTGAAATGAATTATTTGATTTGAATGCATGAAGTGTATAATTATGTATGTATGTATTTACCTGTGAACTTTGATTTCACCCATTTGGTAATAAATGTAAAATTTGCCATTAAAATAATTGTAAATACCACATTTATGAATTGAAATGGAAAGTTGATAACTTTATGAGATTGTTATATTGTTGTTATACTTTCGAATGTAGCATATGAAAGGTGAATATGCATACGTGATGAGTTTGAGAAAAGAAAGGAAGCATGTAAAGTAAAAATGTTTGCAATGCTCATGCTCATATCTAATAACTTAATGTATAAATCCAATAAGCATACATTATATATGTGAAATAAGTGAGCATGATTCATTGTATGATTGTTTGGCAAGAGTTTGCTTAAGGAGAGGAGTAAATAAATCCATGTGGTATTATATGGCTGCATTCTAATAATTGAAAGCTAATCTTGTTCCACTGTTTGTTAAGGGACTGTCTTATTATTTGTCAAGAGATTTAAACCTAGTTATCTCCACCTGTTTGTCAAGGAGACTAACTTAGGGTTTTTTGACACCTTAGAAATTTGAGAATAAGGGAAGCTGTGATTCAAGAGTGAGTATAGTGATTTTTGGTCGGGTCATTCCTCACAATTGGTGAGCTTGGATAATGTAGTTACACGGACAGAGCCCTATTGAATTGCAACTCACGATTGTTGTTAGAAGATATAAGGATAGTTTGATTATGCATATTATCCGACCTGTCACATGACTATTAAGATTGTGGCAAGTCATGACTATTGAATTGTTATTGCCACATAATTGTTAATATTGTAATAATGAACACCATAAAGTGATTGTGATATGTATGAAACTTATACATATATGTGAATTGAAATAAGTGTGTTCATGTGAATCTGTCGTTGTATTCATTTGTAAATATGTGTAATGTCAATTGACAAGCAATTCCATATATTAGATGTATCTTAGTGACTAAATGATTATACTCACATCTCTTTCATAAATATTTTATAGGTTCTAACTCAAGTGTAGATAAAGGAAAAGCTCTAAAAGTTTATGAATTTTATTATTCCTACTATAAAACCTCCTAGCCTTATGTGTGATTCATGAGATATTATTAATTAGGAATACATTTTGAATATATTTACACTATAGGAATGATCTCGAATTGATTGATCGTATTTTAGGCATTAAAATATGTGTATGTAAATTTGATTATCTCTAATAGTACCAAAATACTAATGCAAGTATAGGTATCATTCATATTGTCCAGAATGCATTAAGGGTGTTCACACATTTAGTTTGGTGTGGTTTTGAGGAAAAATCAGACCAAATCAAACCAATTGGTTTATTATTGTTTGGGACCTATTCGGTTTTTTTCTCTAATTAGTTTGGTTGATTTTTGAGCAGTTTAGTTTGATTTGGTTTAGGTCTAGATCAAGTTTGAACTTTTTTAAAGGAGATATTCTTCATAATCACCAATATATATATATATATATTCATGTTCACTAATCATTTTTGACTACTTATTATTATTTGCAATGAAAAAAATCTCTTGAGCATAAATTTTTTTAACAATTAATTAGCATATTTAACTATTAAAAATCAATGTATTATTTTTAAAACACTTGATTATAAAATTAAAAAATTTATCTTAAACAATTATAAATAAAATTTAGCAAATTGCAACTTATTTTTACTAATGATTTAGAAATAACTAAACTTGTTAATGGGAACAAAACTTCAACAAATTTAAAAAAATATACATAATAAATATAATAAGATTTGGTTCAATTTGATTCAAGTTTTCAAAAGTAAAAACTTGAACCAATCAGTTTTGCCAAAAAAAAAACTAACTAAGCCTCATTTGTAATCGAGTCATGTCAGTTTGGTTTGGTTTGATCAATTTAGATTAGTTTTGAACACCTTTAGCATGCATGAATATTAATGAAATGCAATTGCTAGACCTCCCCTATTGTTTTTGATATTGAGAGGATGATAGTTGAAAATGAGATTTGGTTGTTGTTATGTTTCTGTGGCGTGTTACACATATTGTTTTAAGTCTATTGGGTATGGTTTAGATGTTAAATGTAGCTTTAGCACATGTATTTGGGAATTAGACACCATCGTATTGTAAAAAGTGTGAAAAGTAAGAAAATGTGTTTGGATATCCAACTTTTTTGTGTGAAATTATTTAGAAGTAGAGCCTATGCCATTAACTAGATTATGAAAAGTTTTTTCTATAGTCACTTAAATCACCTCAATTAAACATTGGATGAAAAATTGGGGCAAGTCAGCAGTTGCTTTGGATGCTGTCAAAACATGCAAAGCACTGCAACACATAATTCATAGAAGATATGCCACAGTACAAGGGCGCCATGCTGTGGCTCGTTTGTCAATTTTTGCACAGGCAAAATTTTTCAACTAATCTCATTATTTTGAAATGTGAATAGTATTTCATACTTCTGTAATAATTTATCCTCAATTTTTGACTTAATAAAGTTGTTTTGATTTGATTTTAATAAACTTTAAACTTGAGGTTCTATTTTTGAAAGTAAATACATCTAGATTTAGAAAATGATTTTGAAAGTACTTAACCATAATTGGGTAACCCATTTGGGTTAATCCTATTTCTACTAGAGTAATTATGGTTGAGTGTTAGATTATTAAGGGCGACTTTACAAAAACTAATCATGTCTTGCAAATAAAGTTTAATACTAATTGTTTACAATCATTTTATTAGTAATTTACAATTATCACTATAATTTTTTACAATTATAACTTCACTTTTCAATGTCGACTTAACACGTAAAGGTAATATTGTCTTCACACCTTAATTTTAAATTACACTTAGGTTTCAAAGGATCTAGTTATGGTTTTTAAATTTTGTTGGACTTATTTATAAATAAGTTTGCTGAATCCATACATAATTTTTCCTTATAATTTTTTAGGAGATAATTTACAAAACGGTAAATAAGTAAATTATTACTTTAGGTCCAATGTAATGACCTCAGTCACTACTCCCTACTACCACATAACTTTACATTAAACAACCCAATACTATGATTACTTTACAGCTAATCTTAATTGATTTATGATTAAGTAATTAGTTAATCTTTAATATACAAGGCCAGCCACAACAAGCTGTAAATCGTTGACATAATTGTCTATAAATATTAATGATTACTTTTGCAAAAAATTATTATCCAACTAGCAAATCTAATGCATGCTAAACCTAACTTGCCATGCAGCTTAACATGTCCTGTGCTTAAAGCTTACTTGCTGCGGCTTGTAAGCATTCTCACCTTGACAGAATACCTAAGCAAGTCAAATGCTCGCCTAAGCATGTCACACACTCGCCCAAGTAGGCATCATACATCATCATGTTCTAGAATTGACATCAATATTCCATAAGATATTATTTATAAAAAGCAATTTA